CGTTTAAAGCTTTTTTTGTTTCGAAAACTCAAAATAAATTTGCTTTCAAATAACATGCGAGTGGCATTTTTTTTACAGAATGTAAAATAAACATGCGTTTAAATAATAGAAATTGTTATTTTTTTTACAGAACGCACTGAATTTGCTATTTAATAACATCAAAGAATAATTTCGTGCTCGAAATGGAAAATAAATTCGCGTTTAAATAATATCAAAAGGCCAGCTTTTAGAAGAATGCGAAATAAATATGAGTTTTAATAAAAGCGTCCTTTTTTACTGTCACATAGCAAAATAGATTTATATTCCAATAATATCGAAAACCAATTTTTTTTCAGTATTCAAATAATATAATATATTAAAATATTTTTAAGCCATCATTTTATTTATTTGTTTTGGTACGCAAAATAGTTTTACGAATAAAATGTATGAAAGCCCAGTATCTACTGAATTTCAAAATGAATTTATATAAAAAAAAATAGTAAAACCTCATTTTCTTACTCTCAATAGTTTTGCAGAACAAGTCTGATATCAATGTCTGGCAAGTCTAATAGCTGATTTATCATAAAATTAAGAAATAAACAAGTCTTTTTAAATGCTTATATAAAGCATTCCCTTTAAAAAAATATAATCTAGTTTCGGAATAACTTAATTGTAGAATCTTCGGTAATAATTTTATTTTAAGAATGCGTATAAATAGCTTAGCACAAAATGAATTTGTGAAAACAACATTTCACCTGTGTTTGTTTGTAATTCTAAATTAAAAGTTGAAGATACAGATAATACTGATAAATTTTACATTAATAAAATAACATTAAAAATGTAACATGAATGAAATAAGTCTGCATACATTTCACACGGAAGAAAAAAAATAGAAAATTAAACCATATACGTTTTACATAGTGAGAAAAAGAAGAATATATAAAAAATTAACCAGCATAAATTCTTCAGAGTAAAGAAATGAAAGAATAAAAGAAAAATTATCCCACATACGCTTTGCAGGGAGAAAAAGAAATAAAAAATTAACCCACATATGTTTTACCCGGTGAGAAAAAAAAAGAATAAATAAAAAAAACAACCAGCATATGCTTTGCGCGAAGAGCGAAAGAAATTAAAGTTGTGAAGAATATGTGATTCTAGGAAACGTTTTTTAATGTTTATAAACAACTTGACTACTGAATGAATTTGTTAAAACAAAAGTCCAAGTGTTTGCTTGTACTGCCTAATTTAGAATTAAATGCGTGAGATGAAGAAATTTTTGATACATTTATATCACTACAGCTAATGTTGATAAGTTAACTCGTATACATTTTACACAGAGAAAATAAAAAGGGAAAACCAGAAGACAATGTAACTTGAATTCTTCAGTATGGTTTTCAAAAGCAATAACAGCATTCTACGGATTCGTCTGAAAATTCAAAAATTTGTACCTAGCTCTTGTATCTATAACTAAGGTAATGTCCCTTGAGACAACCCAAGAAAAAAAATTAAAATCCACTTAACTTGTAAATGATAGTATCATTTAATGTTGTTCTACCTGTAATGTGCGTCTGAATCTATGCAAAAAAATAATAATTACTTCTTTTGAATGCCCAATAATTAAATAAAATATTTTTAACAATTTTAATTAACATGCAAATTCAAGTAATGTTTTTTAATTTAAAACGAAGACATCATTAAATATTTTACTAGCATTGGTCTCCAAGGTCTCAGTTAATATTCAGTTTATTCAGTTAATATTCAGTTAATATTTCAAGCATTAACCCTTTTCTTTTTAATTTTGTATGAGAGACTGGTTTGTATGAGCGATTTTTTTAAAAATGATCATAAGATAAAAGTATGAAATTTCTATTAAAATATGAAATTTCTATTAAAATTTCTATTAAATTACGCGTTATATTTTAATTAAAATAAAATCATTGACTTAAAATATGTGTAAACAATAACTTAAAAATAATAAGATTAAAAACAATAATTAAAACAAATAATTTAAGTTACAAAGTCCATTAAATACTTACTAGTTAAAGTCAGAACAAATCAAGAAAAATTAAAATTTCGAAAGAAAAATGCATATGTTTAAATACTATAATGGAATATATTCTTACTATGAAATATGTTTAAATACTACTATGGTTTTAAAAAAACATATGACACTCTACGAAGCATTTACTTATTAAAAACAAAGTCTTCCAAGGATCCCTATTGATTATTTAAAATCTCAAATAAGAAGATCTAAAAAATTTTAAGTACTCGTATAATTTTAAAAAAATTTAATGTAGCATCTACAGTTTCTTTTATGCATTTACTAATGAAAATCAAAATGAGTTAAGAAGAATTTAAAATTCTAAAGAATAAGAGTAGGTAAATCAAGCGAATATCATATTTTTACGCACAAGACTTGTTAGTCCTTAAAAATTTATTTCATTTTTCCGCAGAAAAAAGGAAAATAGTAAACGCCAAAATGAGAAACAACGCTTTTTGGCAGATTGTGTTGTTACATTTTCTCCAAGGGCCTTTTAAAATCAGCTTATACATATAAGGGAAGCACTTTGAAAGTTTTTTATACTTCAAAAATAAGTCTATAAAATTTTTCGTTTTCCTGAGACTTGAAGAAGAAAAAAAATGTCTCACAATATGGCTTTATCGAGAAAAAGAACTCGTTAAATACATTATGACTCTGAATGATTGAAGAAGAAAGATTTAAAGTTTCGTAAAAGATTTGGTGAAAAATCTCGTAAAATCCTCTTTAACTCTTGTTCAAGCCTTAAATGGCCGCAGTTATTTTTAGCGGGTTAGAAGAAAAATAGTGAGGCCTAAGCGTACTTTAAAAATCCCTTGAGCGAGAAAAACGAACGAGAGATAGAAACAGACCGAGTAGGGGAAAAACACAGTTTGAGCCGAAAATCGTTTGAATCATTCAGTTTTGAACTGAAAGGAAGTCAAAATGCTAGAAAACAAAAGGATATTTTTGTTTAAAGAAATGTTCTGAAATAATGCTTAACGAAGTGGAAATAGCGCAAATAATATTTTGAACTACTCGAAGAGGTAACAAGTTTATAAAGTTTATATCAGTGTGTGTATCGCAATGTTATTTGCTGTTCAAAATATGTAGTTTAAATTGAATAAATGGATTCACTTTTTATTTGCGTCTTTCGTTTAATTTATGAAAGAGTAAAACTAAAAATTTATTTGATTAAATGGCTCACCCGTATTACTTAAATTTTCAATAACTTTTTTGTTACATGATTCTAGAATCAGTTGCGTCTTAATAAAGCATTGCCAATGCATTTCTAATATAATAAAAGTGCAAAATTTTCTTTTAATTATTAAAGAAGTTGATTATTATCACAAATATTTTTTTTAGGAATTCAATCAACTACTGAATCATGTGATTTTGACGTTAACTGTTTGGTTGCAATGGCAGTAATTCTTCTTGATCAAATTGGTCTCCATAAGCAATTCCGATTTAAAATTTGCTGGTAATTTAATTTAATTTTTGTTTTTTGTTAAGCGATATATCTGACAGTCGATCAGCCAATCAGGTGGCCGAGTGGTTAGCGTGTCTGACTGCCGAGCCATTGGCCGCGTGTTCGAATCCTGCTCAGAGCATGGAAGTTCCTTTCTCTCTGTGTGTTCTATGTCCTTTCTCCTTTGTGTGAATGTGACCAGCCCTATAAACGGGTTTGTGGTTGTGTGACATGGGTGAAGATGCTCCACCGCCGTGGCTTCGCCATAGGTGCCCACTGGGTACCGAGGAAAGGGTAGCAGTTCTGGCATTCCTGTGCCCAATGGGACAATCCCCAAGTGCCAGCCATTAAAAAAAAATATATCTGACAGTCAAGTATTTTCGAGCATCGTTTTTCGCATTTACAAATGTGTACTTACAACTCTAAAAGAAGTGATTATGCATAACAACGTGATTTAAATGAGATTTAATTGGATAGTTGAGAGCGACGTCACGCGCATGTGTAGAACCTGACTTGCTTCAGACTCGAATAAGGTCACGATTTGCCTGCCATGACCTGACTTGCAGATATCGAATTCTTAACTAAATTAAGTTGTCTTAAGTTACTGTTTAAAAAAATTACGTCCTTTTAATTCTTTTTCAAGTCGAAATTTTAATTTATGCAAGTTCAAGTGTAAGGAAATAAAACAAATGAGCGTAAAAATTAAACTAAAAAAAATACGCTAAATTTAAATAATGAATTTCTTTATGTTGGGCTATTACACGTACTTTGTGCAGATCACTTCAGTGATCACTTTAGTTGTTTGAAGGAATTAACATAAACTGCGGAGTGGGTGAAAAATAAGAAAGATGTCACTACGTTCGTACTACTGAACTACGCAGTGGGGAGACAATTAGGAATGATGTCACAGCGTTTGTACTACTAACGATCTGATTTATCGCTTACAGTAACCCGTGCAAGGGCCTTCTACTTTCTAGATGATTTGCTTGAAGCTTACCCAGCTTCAGAGCGATTTGTACCAGCCTATCTGAGCTGTTGTTGTTGTTAATTTACGTTGCACTGCACTAGAGCTGCACAATGGGCTATTGGCGACGGTCTGGGAAACATCCCGGAGGATGATCTGAAGACATGCCATCACAATTTTGATCCTCTGCGGAGGGGATGGCACCCCCGCTTCGGTAGCCCGACGACCTGGGCGCGCAGTCGAGCACTTTACGGTAGCACAGTTTAACGAGGACCAATACCGCACACCCTCGGTCCCTACGCAGACTGATCCAAGTGGTCACCCACCCACACACTGACCGCAGCCAGTGATGCTTGACTTCGGTGATCTGCTGGGAACCGTGTCTTAACGATCAGTCCACTGCGGGACAGTCTGTCTGAGAAGTAAAGGTAGTCTGTACGTAACACTGACCATATTACAACAATCATACCATTGGTGTTGAAATTGTGAAAATCTTAAGCTCCATGACTCTACTGACTTACACGGGGTTGTAGCGGAAATACTTTATTATTAGAAAATTTTATATTACTCACTGCAATCAGTTTCGTCGGAATAATCTCCACAGTCATTTTCGCCGTCACACCACCAGGATGTGATGATGCATTTCCCACTGTTGCACATAAACATGTCACGTGAACATGCAGCTGCATCTGGAACGAAAGAATAAAAATATTTTTATAGAATTTTTAAAAAAAATTTCGATTAAAGAAAACTTAGAAACAAGAATGATTGGAACTAGTGGTGGAAATTGAGGACTATAAATGAAAGCTGATCTTGCAAGTGTAAGTATGCATGTAAAACACTAACGAAACTTCGTTTCTTAAGTAACTTTGCTTCGGTCGTAGTGAAACTTTGCATCGTAATTTCTATGTCTTATCAGAAATTGACCAGAGGTAAAAATTTTTAAATAGATGAACTTATTCCCGTACAACGAAGAAAGAATGGGGCGTATGCAGTACCAGAAGGGAACAGAATTGATATGAGAGTGTTAATCATTTTTCTGCTCCCCTGAAACAATTTCTTTTTTTTTTTGGACTTAAGTCATTTTTCATCTCTAATCCTCAACTTCTGATTATTTTCAAACTACAAAATTGTCTTAAATAAGCTAAAAGTCAGTTGCAATTTAGAAAATAAATAAAAAAAAATCTGTTTATTTTTTTATTCTGTATAATAGTAACAAATTTATGAAAGAAAATCAATTAATCACTTAAATCTTTATGTAAATCACAACAAAAATTCTTTTTATTTTTTATTCTGCATAATAGTGACAAATTTATATAAAAAAAATCATTTAATCACTTAAAATAAGTCTTTATGTAAATCACATAACATCCAACTTAATTTTTCTTAACGTGTTGCGATTTTTTTAATAATGCCTAATCACTCCCCTGTCAATTTTAATTTGTCTGTAAAGGAAATCCTAATGAGTTCACGAAAGATATAATAATTTTAAACTTAATTCAGAATAAAATATACATAAAATTCTCCACAATTCATGCAGATTTTCTTCAAATAGATTTCAATAAAAATAATATTTAAAAGCATTCTTTTTTTATTTTCAACTTAGGAAATTCACAGTTAGAGTAGGAGGTAGACTAATAAGCAAATTTGTCTTAGAAAAAATTTGCCTTTGTCTGATAAATTTTCCACAAATGATGTATGTAAATGCGTTTTAAACGAACCGTAATAAGTATTTTTTTTATTTAATTCTTTAAAAGAATTGGAATCAATAAATGCGTTGCATTTTAATTGACTTTCATCTTTTCTTGTTTGTCTGGTTTACGTCTGGTTTAGACAAAATGATTTATTTTTATTCTTTATTATTACTTGAGAAATTAAAAAAAAATTTCAAATACTTTTTTAACGCGGCATATACATATTCATCATGCTTACTTAACCATTCAAACACTAGAAATTTTGATAAATTTCCTTACATAAAATATTCGAAAAAAACATTTTTTACAGCGTGAAACTAAATAAAGCATATATTTTTTAAATTATATTCATTTGACTTCTAAGAATATTTTACTGAAAAATAGGCATTGTTTGAGATAAGTTTAAAATTGGAAATAATATTTCTGAAATATTTTAAGGTATCTTTGCAATAAAACGCCAGTTCCCAAAGTATTGAAAAATGCTAGTATTGTCTTTATAAAATATTTAAAAATGACTAAAATATGCAAATATCATATTTTAGTAAAACAAATGCTGAAGAAGACATTTTCTAGAAGATTAAACTATATATCAGAAAATATTTTATAAATTTTAAAATATTGTCATAAAAATTGTATGTATAAGTTATAAGATGATTTTTTTTTTACTTTGCTAAAACGTTAAAAGAAAACTTAATTTTAGTTTTCGAAACACATTTGTTACTACCCCGTCGATTACAAATTTAAGCTGATCAAGGAAAAACGAGTTTTAATTAGTTTTTTAAAACTTCCTTACTCACTCAAGTTATGCAGGGGAAAAAAGATAAATAAAATGAGCAGGAAAAAACTAATAAAATAAACGGAAGTGGTTCTTTAACTGAAAAAGAAAATGGCGCATTAAAGCATGAGAGAGCGATAACTGGTTCAAAAGTTATAATGAGTTTCTCTAATTTTTTAATGATGAATTCTAATATGCGTATATTAAATGCACTTCGTAAGTTTTTGAGAATGTAATATTTCATTGAATAATAATGAAAAGAATCAAATTTATTACTAACTTTTAAATAATCCGAAATGAAAATATAAACATTTTGCAATCCTTTAGTCAACTAAGAAATAATAAGAAAAAAAGGGACATAAGAAATGGGGAAATTAGAAATAAGTTCTTTTTAAGTTTTTAATTCATAATAGATTCATTTAAAAGTAGAATTCGCTAATTGCCTCGTACAGAAAACCAATTACATCAGAGCTCCTCGAATAATCTTCTGGCTAAAGTTGCAACAAGTAAAGAACGAAAAAAGAAGAAGAAAAAAATAAGAGTGAAAAAAGTAGAAAATTAAAACAACAATAATTTACTCCAAAAATATTTAAAAAGTATACATTGGCCAACCTCTCAGCGTTATTAAGACAAATTATAAAACAAAAAACTTTAATTACAAATTAACTTAGTAAACATATACCAAGGGCATCAAGATGGGAAAGTTTAAAAACTGGTAACAAATAAATTTTATTTTTAGATTTCTTTCGGGAATAATAAAATATCCATAAATAACAAAATTTTTTGACGGATGCATTTTGTATATTGAATTGTTTCTTCCTTGAGAAAAAATTTATAGCAATGAATTATTTATTGTTAAAAATAGAATTACTCCTCCCGAAAATTATCTATTTTCGAAATAGTTCTACTACCAGTGTTTTCTCTTTTCCGTCCCGCTTTCAGGCCTGCATAAACCACCACCAATACCCAGACAAAAATCTTCATGCATCTACACACAAAAAAATTCCGAAACAAATTACGGTATAAAATAGCACTTTGGGAGCATCATCCGTAAAATTGAATTTTTACCTTAAAATATTTTACCATAAATTTCATAGTAATATTTACTTAATTTGAATAATTCAGTGATTTTTCGGTAATCATTACTGTAAAATTTACGGTACATCAAATTTTTTGCTCCTTAACCGGTTAAAATGGATTTTACGGTAAAAAGTACCGGCTCGTTAAGTGCCGGTATTTTTTACAGTAAATTTTAGCTGAAATTTGTACAGTGTATCCTTTTGATTCTGCTGTTACGAAGAAACTTTTGTATGGTACCGAAAAAATTACGTGCTTTATAAAGCTTTTTTTTATACTCATTACGCTCTCGTTACGTTTGAATATTTTCCTAGTAATTATTAATTACCTTCGTCAGTGACAAGGCGAAACTCCTTATGCTTTCATTTTTTGCCTCGAATGTATTAAAACTATCTCTGTATTCTACCGAAACAATCATAAGAACCCACTCATTCATATTTTTTTTCCTTTTTACCACCAGCGCAAAGGACGCTTTATACATTTGGATACCATTATAGCTATTAACATATCCTAATTAACTTATTCTAATTAACGTATTATAATAATTAACTTATTCATAATTTCTAATTAATTTAAAATAAAATGTTAGGCAGTGAGAAAAAATCATACTTTCTTTCTATGCTTTTTTACAAAATATTCATGAATTATCATTGTAAAAAAATTTAACAAAATTCCAACCACTAAGATCTCTCGTCAAAAGAAAAAAAATTTTAAAATGTGAGCAACTTTAAATATCGTCGCATTTAGCATTTACTCCAATTCTTCATAAAATATTAAAAAAATTAGTCGCATTTATAAAACGTTACAAAAATTCACCATTTTCTAACATTGGACTGTGTTTTATTAAAAATAATAATAATAATAAAAACGGAAGCAAATGTAGGGAGAACAACCATCAATACTTAAACACAGAATACCAGAAACACATATTCTATATCTGTCTATCTATACGCCTAGCGAAGATTCATCTTGAACGTAAACAAACCGAAGGAGATCGTTACATTATGTATTTATAAACAAACAAGAAGATGCATTTAATCGTATTAGTGCTTTTTATAACATTATGAAATAATAAAAAAATATACCATAGCGAAACCTGTTTTTTTTTCTTCTATTGAAATAGATCTATAAAGAGGTTTTGAGAACAGCTGCAAGCAGAATGAAAGAAATAGTTATGAATAAGTTTTTACTTATTTATTTACAAAATACGGAAACACTGTCCAACTTCTGATATCCGAAAAAAATGTCTAATTATCAAGGAACAGAACAAATCTCTCAAAGCTGAAAGTTTTCCTGTTGGTGAAGTCTTGAATCTTGAAATAGGACAACCTGCTCAAGAGAGAACTACGATGTCCTAGCGACATGTTTAGTAAATATTTTTATTTGGATACAAATTACTTAGATATATATGTGACATTGTGTCACTTAATCTCAATTTTCTGTTGGGATTATGACCTAAAAATTAGACCGAACCCTGACCCATCTCCTGTGACGCCTCACTGTCTGTCGATCTTCACGCCTGTGACCTTCGGCAGCCTTTGATGTTAGCACATGGAGGGTGGTTAGATGCAGTCACAGTTTGTGAATAATTGTAATTTGATTTTTCGCAGTTAGTCTATTCACTTCAAGTCCCATTTTAAGGAGTTTAACTTCCACTTCTTGCTGTTTCTATAAATATCGCCCATTTTTTTGAGCGGGCGCTTTCGAATCACCTTCCGTATCAATACTCTACGATCCCTTAACAGGGATTTTTCATTTCTACCCCCTCCTCTCTTTGAGAGACGGAGTTTCTTTTTTTATTTTTGCAAGTGGCGTTCTTGTCCCGCCATTGCAGCTACATCGACATGTTGGCGATAAAATCCGTTCTTTTTTCTGTACCAAGGAGTTTTTCAAGGACTCGACGTTAATTATTTTGGAACCACCTGATCTTCCTGATGAAACATGACATATCCAATTCATTCTTCTTTGATATTTAGTGCTCGATACTCATCCCCCACAGCCTTTTCGAATTTTTAAGCTGCCTCTAGTTCCTCCTACCGGACTTAGTAATGAAAGAAGGCCTAGCCAGTGTGGAATGCTGTCCGGCGTGTTCATCCCTGTTCTGTAGAATCCCCTGATGCTCAACAAAAAATAAAGAAAATCT